TTTTTGTTTCACTTGCGTTGCAGATAACATACTGTAGAAATAGTGGATTTAAAAGGTAAAATTCAAAGAATGTGGGGTCCTGGCTCTGCGGTTAGAGACATGCCTGCCTCAATGAATCACCAGAATAATCTACAAATGGTAAACAGGAAATATCAGAGCTATTTAAAGTACTGTAGTTTCTCTAAGATAGATTTAATAGGCATTGTTATCTCTCCCTAAAGTGATTTGTAATGTCTTGCCTGTTCAACTTTTATCTTTTGTTACTATCTTGTGTATTTTCACCTTAATTCATCTTCTGTGTTTTTCCCTCCCTTTCTTTTATTGTCTTTTGAAGTGTTTAACACATTTTTTATGCTTTACATAAAGAGGCTACCTCTGTTTGAAAGAGGCTTCACAAATAAACCTGCCTCACCTCACTCCTCCTTTCTCCTCTCTGTTTATGTTTTACTTTGTCCGTGCCCTTTTGCTGCTTTTCTCTTCTTCTTTCCCCTCTTTGTGCTCTTGTAATTTCACCATAGAAACTTTATTGTTTACATCCTGTGCGCCTTTCAAGACCGTGTTTATTCTTGAGAGTGCCGGTGTGTGACTCTCTTACTATCATTCTGGAGGAAATACCATAAGTCGCGTGCCAGTCACAGTAACCGCAAACCCAAGCTGGGTGGAGAGGGGCATTTTTCATATAAATCATGGAATATGGCTGTGGGCGAGCCTTTGCCAGGCTGAGCGAAGAGCCACAAATAGACTCCCATTGCATGTAGTAACAGCTTTGAGCAACACAAAGGCAGACTGTAGTAGCCATTGCCTGTGGTATAGCTGGGAAAAGGGCTCTTATTGTTCCCGTGCATCGGGAAGTTAGTCATGAGATATTACCAGGCCGTCAAGTTCAATTCGCGAGCTATCAGAAGTGAATGCTTTAAATTCTCTGCGTTTTCACTTCAATCCCTTCAGCACCACAGGGTTTGACAGCCTGACAGAAAAAGTCCCTTAATGAACCTCACTTGAGATGTCAGTGGGCCGAGTTTGACACTCTTTGGTCTTCGACAAAACACTCACTGGCACTGCTCTGTCTGGCTCCATTTCCCAAGATTGCTTACATCACATGGCATAAATAGAACTCTCCGGGATATAAATCCAGCGCTGCGATGATAGATACTAAAATAATGTCAGTGGCGGTTAACAAGGGCTGCTTGAGCGAGAGCGTGTGACAGTACAAAGGCAGCATGGAGCAAAGACTGATGTGGAATGTAACTAACCTGGAAGCTAAAGTCATATGGGGCTAATCGGTTCCAGCCATGCATAAATTACAAAGGGAAGAACAGGGGACGGTCAGCTGCACGGGCAGGAACTGTAAAAATAAAAAAGAGAAGGTGGACAGAGAGAGAATCAGATCAGCATGTGTATGTGTGAGCGTCCTGCCTGTTGGGTGTCTTATCAGTGCCGCAGGAGAGGTCAAGTCAGGACACAAATCACACCCCCAGGCTGGGCTGCCTCCTCTCAACTTACCCAACAGTTAAGCTACATCTGTTTCTCCTTTACTTTCTCCGTCTCCCCCGTGTCTTTCTCCCTCCGTCTCTCTCTTCCCGCTCCCGAAATCTGCTGTTACGTAGCGATGTTCGTTGGCCCCAAAAGCGGAGCCGCTTCGGTACAGGTCGACGTGATGTCCTGCGCTGGAGTACAGCTAATCATCTAATCAGTGGCATGTACAGGTTTTCTAAGGACAGGGAAAACAGTGGTACCTCTGTGGTGCACAGGGGCAGGTTTGTGTTTAGGTTTATGGTTTGTTTAGTCCAAAGATTACAATAGATTAGCACTTGAGCAAACCGCAGAGGCACTTTGGGCTTACCAGCAGAGTACCCGTGCCAACCAGAGGGGTACTTGGCCTCACTAAAGGAATATTTGGACCAACCGAGAGGGCACTTGAGACAACCAGAAAGGAATCAAGGCCGACCAAAGGGGAATTTGGGATAACCCAAAGAGTATTTTAGCCAACAACACAGATCCTCAGTTGAACTGGAGAGGCATGTAGGAAGACGCTGGGTGTATGGAATAACTACAAGGGCACATAGGTCCACTGCAAGGGCCAATCAGAGGGTGATCAACACTTGGACTTACCAAAGGGGGTGTTAGAGCCATCAACTGGAACTTGATTCGGAAGAGCATTTAGGACAACCAAAGGGGCCTGTGGACAAACTTGAGCACTTGGGCAAACTGAAAGGCCGCTTAAGCTTACCAGAGGGGTATACTGGGATCAATTAGAAAAGGCACATTGACCAAGCGGAAGGACATTTTTAGCAACCAGTCTAATCAAATACCTGAGTCAAGTAGAGAGTCATGTGGGCAAACTATGGGTGCTCGGGCCAACTTTGAGATCACTTGAGCTCAACATTTGGGCCCTTGCACCAACTAGAAGGGCATATGGGCCTATGAGAAGCATGCATAACCCAGCCAGGCTTTAGGAATGACAGGAAGGTCAGTTTGGGTCCCGTTGGCTGTACATTTAGGGGGAAAAAAAGAAGCATACCTCTGTAATTGGGATATAAACACATACTGAATAAATATTTTTTTCCCCCGATTTTAAAGACGCTTTGGCACATGGAGCTAGTTGTCCAAACTTCTTAGAATTGTTTTGCTATGCTGCGGGGATGACTTCAGGCCTCCAAGTGAAATGTATATATCAAATGAGAACATGAATAGAGTTTAAACAAGCAATTGATTTTTGAATTTAAGAAAAAACACCAGAATAACTAACAAACAAATAAAAATATGTTAAAGGTTCTGCTGCTGCTGATTTCTGTCGTGCACTTTGGCACTACACAAGCTACATGGATCTTTGCTCGATGTCTTTTGGGTCCAAAGTCTCTCTGAGACTTATTTGTGTCACCTCCAGAGCCCTAAGGACACACCTCAAACACACACACACACACACACACACTTGCGTGTTCAGGCTTGCATGAGAGCTAGAAAAGATGTCAGTAATATGATAAAGTACAGTAGATAGAGCAAGTTGTAAAAGGATCATTTGTGTTGTCCTATTTTCATTTTTAAATGGTTTTATCAGTAGGAGTTTTATTTAGTCTTGTCATTACTATTATAAGACTAAGATATTCATAAATAGTTTATTATGCAACCCCAAACAAGCATATTTTTAATAAAAAGGCACCCAAAGGCGGCCCTGATGACAGATTTATCTATTAGTTACAGAATCCCTAGTACTGAGAATCTTGTGTTGGAAAATCCTAATCAAATATCCTGCTGTACAATAACAACACCTTTTTTATTTTCTTAACTCCTTGTCCTCAATTCAAATCTGGGGCACAAAGAACTCGTTGGAAACGGAGGGAAAATGCAAAAGTGCACATGCAGCGGCGAGTATGAACTCAATGGCATATTCCAACGTCCTCACACTACATCTGTGTCCTGACATGGCCCCAACCGTCTAACCACATTTTGTCTTCTGGCACCCAGGGGAACATAAGGATCACATATGCCTTTGGCAGCAGTCCACGCCCACATTCCTCAGCTATGTGCTCACAAGCATTCTCCCTGCTCCCTGCTCTCCCCCCACCACCCTCTCACCGCCCTCCCTCTTCGCTCTGACACCAAAAACTTGGCCCACATTGCTGTACCCTGTAAAGTAATGCAAACACTATATTTTTCCTGGACACAGGGGGAGGTGGAACATATAATATGCCACTTCTTGAACTGAGCTGAGCCTTCCAAGTTCTTCTAAACATGCTACTGACTGAACCGACTGTTATGCAGGTGGATTAAGTAGGCTTGTCAAGCTTCGGGGATAGGGTTCATTTCAGGTAGTACCTACGTGCTGATACTTATTTCACGGAAACTTCCTTCAGTGTGAATTTCAGCTCTTTAACTGGAAGAGAAAGAAAAACTGGAAAAATCAGAAAGAGGGCTGAGAGCTGCAACAAGTCTTGACTGCAGCTTCTAAAGAAGAGTCTTTAGCCAGTGCTTTTTATGTGACTGGTCCCCAGTGGCTTGTCTAGTTAAAGGTTATCTTTAACTCACAACTCAAAGTCAAAGACAGTGGGGCCGGGGAGGCTGTGCAGTTTGCTGTCTGGGGTTACTGGGTTCAGTGGTAGGGGGTGCATGGTGCGGAATGTGGCTGTAAGAAAAAGCCAGGAGGAATCATTATAGGGAAGAAATGAGACGCCAGAACTGGGAGTGCAGCGCATGAGTAAAGAATTTTCAGTCTTTTATAAAACAAGCCTCTGCACATGGCTTAAATCTTCTGTTCTGGATCTTTTACCCTCCTGTGACAATGTGTACTTTCCAGTTTTTAAGCGCGGACACTGAACGGCAGACATATTTTTACACTGACTGTATTCTAATTTTACAGGATACGGGTTGATAGCTGATCATTTATAATGGCTTTTGCCATCTAGCGCCTGACTTGTTAACTTTTCCTATTGCAAACTTAGCCAATGTTACATGATGTTAAATTCTGCCACACTTTGCTAATGACCCTCTGCTCATTTGTCAAGTATTTCACCTGGAAATGTCAGTTGGCTTATTAGCTGGGATGAAAATGTGACCTCTGGCCAGACCACCTGCAAATCATCTCCTGCCAGGCCAAAGATGTGTATTCGGGTGCCAGAGGAAAAAATTTGAACCACATTGGAGTTTTAGTCATACAATAATAGGTAAAATATTCAGATCTGACTGCTGTGGAGGCAGAATCATCATCGGTTGAGCAGAATAACCAACAAGCAATGACTTTATTAGTTAATTGTAAATAGCCAAATTAACCTAAAGGCTTTTATTGTCATGAGTTTTCCTTTATAGCACATTTCTATTGTTCCAGTAAAGTTCCTCTCCTGTGCTCACTTTCAGTCAGTTTTAAGTCGGTGCTTCTTATTTCTGGAGCTTTTCAACCTCCTCTTATGGTCTTCTTCGAGGAACACTGACAGATTTTGTCTCCGAAGACCTTAAAAGTCAAGTTTTGCATGCAACATGGATATAAATAACAAATCTCACACATCTTTTTACACAGAAGTACATTTATTTAGGTCTTAATACATTAATATTGAACAAGTTACATATTTGTATTGATTGCAAATCACACAGCACAATTCCAATTTATTCCTGTATACCTGTGTAAGGTAAATGTAACAGATTTTTTTTTTTTATTTTAAAATATGTAATGGGAACTCTTCCTCTTGTTACGAGGAGCCCTTTTGTTAAAAAAATGTAAGTAAAAGTGCAATATCTAAATTGGTCCAGAATCTGCATTTTGAGCAGGACTTCTCTGATGAATAAATATTGTGTGTTTCAGTTTTAAAAATGCAATATATCTTTACTTTTTTTTTTTTTTCTGTAATTTGCTTTTTGATGCTATTTTCTAAAAACCGTAGCTGAATACAATAAAAACAACATTGTCAGTTTACAAAAAGCTTAGCGTATCAATCACTGCATCATCTATTTTCTAAATAAACTTCATTTTTTTTCCCATATAACTATCTGGAACATAGAGTTTTTTTTGACAACAACGACACCATAACATCTCACAGCGCTATGTTACAATAAAATATCTCTGTTAAAAGTTCAAAAAGAAAAAAAAAAGAAAATATAACAATAGCAACATAAAATTAAGGAATACAATGCATAGATTCAATCATTTAAAAATGTTTGAGATATAATTTACTTAGTACAGCTCTTTAACTTTTAGAGTGAACCTACATGGATTCATTACAGTTTATCCTGACTTGAGTGACCGGCACAAATATATATAGTTCTGAACACATCACATGATAAAAATGCTAAATATATCACTTTGACTTCAAAAGGCAAATTTGGCTATAGTACACTATGGCATGTTTGGGTAAGAAAAGGCAACACCTGGCAACAAAGCCAAACAGCAGCTTCTTTATCGGCTCCTCTGCCTTTTTTGAAATGTAAAGAATTTCAATTTTACTCTCTTAAAACTTGCTTGTTCGTTCTCAAAAATCGATGTCAGTGGAGTCAGATCATTGCTAGTCTGGAGTATGCAAGATTTTATTTTATTCAAAATAAACCAAAAACAACCTTGAACTCATTAGTAGAGCAGCTTAAATAAAAACCTGCATACTCAAGACACCACAGGATCGCCTACTGATATGTGAGGTTTCTAGATGAACAATATCATAAAGACTAAAAATCAAATAGGCGGTCTTCAGTTTCTGTTTGTCGATAAGCCACTTGGTTTTTCAGCCACCGAACCGAACTTTGTGAGTCAGTCGTGCTGACGGACGAAGTTCATCGCAGTCGAACACGATTTCTGCACAAGTCCGACTGACAGGCTGGAAACTTTTGTCGTTAGTACAGCGATAAGTGGGGAAAAAGCAAGTTTGAAAACGCAAATATACAAGCTCGGATACTTAACACTTAGTGGCGCTTTTTCAGGGGGAAACTTTAAATAATGACTAAAATAGACTAAAAAAAAGATGATTTGGGGTTATCAAGTCATGCGTTACCATTATATCCAATGCTTTAAAAAGACATAATGATAGGTAGAGGTAGGAGGGGCAGAGTGAAAGCAGTAAGGCTGTTCCTAATGACAGCAATTAGAAGGCTCTTTTGGACAAAAAAAAAAAAAAAAGGAATCATACTGTACTCATCTGAATCACTAAGCTTTTGAGACAAATAGGAAAATACAAAGAGCTCTGAACAGGGCACAGGCCGGTTTACTCGCAGTGTCCTGGATGACAATCTCCGCAGGCCTCGCTCAGCCTTGGCGTGACAACGACAGTAGCACTGAGAATATCTTTTTATCCCAAACCGCCTTGACCTCATCACAATCACAGCGCCGAAAAAGCGTTCAGGAAACCTTAACAATAACAATTTACAGTCACTTATTTCTTCTGCAGACAAAGTGAAAGCAGGAAATTGAAAATAAAAAGAGTTCACTGTTCTTTTTCTTCAAGACTGCTGGATTTGAGTATCTTCTGGACCGTAGACATTTACAAATATTAAACCCTTCAAGCCTGCAGTCAAAATCTACTTTGTTAGGCACAATAAATAGGCCCCTGTGGTATTAAGGTTCAGAGTGACAAATAACCCAGAACAATTCTGATGTCTGAGTGCAGGTTATGCAACAGCATAAATCTATATTAAACCACAAATAACTTATGTCTCAAATATATACTAAAATCTAGTAAACATCTACTACATCATTTTAATATACATTCTTAATGTATGTACAAAGAAATCAGAAAGTAAATCATCATTTTTACAGCCTGATTGATCTCAAGCACAGACCTGTCCACTGTGTTTAAAAGAATCGGATCCAGTTTTTTTTTCTCTTTCCTTGATTTTTGCTTCCATTCTGTAAACACTATTTACAATCTTTAAAAATACACGACGAGACCTGATTTTACAAACTGTATGATTACACTATGTACATTCAGGCAATAAGTAAGCTATTATGTAACATCACCCAAGGATCCGTTGAGAAATCCCTCGCTTTTTAAAAAAAAAAAAAAATGTTATTATCATGACAGTCCACAAACTCCATGAGCCAGATCGCCTTCATCGTCCGTCCGCAGCGGTAATCAATTATCATCATTTGCACGTACAAAAAGCTTGATTGGTGACACACAGTAAACAGCTTGGTGTGACTTTGTGCACTTGTACAGGTTGTGCTGCAGCTGCTGATGAGATGTAGTTGGCAGTGTCACTTGCAAAAATTACAGACTCGACTAAATTACTACTCAACTCTGTAACCTTTGTGAGTAAACCAGAGAGGTGTGTTTCAGTTTGGCTCTTACGTTAAGGCAAAATGTTTGGCACTTAGTTCGTACAGACTGTTGAACGTTTCAAAAATAAACCTGATTTCATTTTCAGGGGCCCTAATGGTGATTTGTCCTCAGCAGGTCGCAACCAATCTCAGCCTGCTGACGTGATCTGAACAAATTTTTGAAAGAGGAATGTTGTTGGAACAGAAACTGCAGGTGATGTTGGGACAAGAGTAAAAAGTATCTGAAGATACATGTTTAGTCTCAGATGAGTTTACCAAACAGCAACAACAAGAACCTTCTTCTTCTTTTTTTGTATGCGTTACAGTTTCTAGCCTGACACCCAGCTATGTGTGGTGGTCTTCACCCCATGTGGGAAACCTTGCTGGGTCACCACTGGCTCAAAGTTGAAGTCCAGTGAGTCTCCGTCCATCAGAGTGTCATGGAGCACCGTCTCCATGTCAAACTCAAACTTCTCGATGGACATGTCATCCAGGTCGCTGGGCAGTTTCTCGGGGTACGAAGGTGGCGACAGGCCCGGTCGGCCGTATCCGTTGGTGTTCAGAGGACAGAAGCCGCCAGGCATTCCTCCCCCGCTTAGGTGGCCGGAGAGGCCATAAGGCATCTGCATGGGGCTTTTGGCTGTTGGCACCCGTGTGCTGCCCCCGCTGTAGCTCAGGGACATGAGCAAGCGGCCGTTCATAGCTGGTGACGAGGCCGGAGCTTGGCTGTGCACGTTGTGGGGGTGAGTGTGAGAGAGACTGTGCGGGTGACCGTTTCCTCCTCCCATCAGTTTGGCTGCGTGCTGGCTGCTGCTGTACGGCGGCAGCATGCAGCCTCCGCTGGACTGAGACACCACAGTGTCCACTGATGGCATGAGCTCTCCGTGCTGGTCTGTATCTGATGTCAGCAGCTCCTTTAGGAGCCCTGCAGTGCAGCTGTACTGGCCTATGTTAGGCCCGAAGCTGGGCTTGCTCTCCGACAGGGTCTGCAGCGGCATTGGTGACAGGGTGTTCATCCCCGCTTGGCCGTACACACACTTGTGGTAGTCCTGCTGAGACTGCGAGGCCATGCTGGGGGAGCTGTAGGCAGGGTACCCGGGGCTGGGCTGCATCATGGGAGACGGGGAGGACTGAGAAGAGCCGGGGGTAGTCGCCCCTCCTCCAACCTGAGAGTTGTTGGGCGAGAGCAAGTTCAGGTTGTCCAAAAGGTTCTCCATGACATTCTCAGAGCTGTGTCCCAACGAGCCTGTCATCTCTGTGAGGCTGGGCAGCGTGGCTGTCATCTTGGCACCGGGGGCTCCCGGGTAGCCCATATGCACGTCTGCTTCTCCGAGGTCATCCTCAGGCATGAAGGGTGAGAGGCGGCCGCTCAGAGTGCTGGCATTGGAACTCGTCCGAGGCCTGAAGCTGTTCCATGCATCGTAGTCGTCGTTGCTGTGGGAGTTGGGGCTGCCAGGCCACTTGGAGTAGGATCCTGGGCTGTCTGCACCTCCATCAGGGCCGCCCTGCAGGGACAGCTGTGGGGAGACAAGGAGACTCTCAGTGCACCGACAATACTATGCGTGCCAGAGTCAATCAATTTAACATACTGCTGGCAGAAACCAGTGGAAATAAAACTGGGCTCAGAGATTAAAGTACCAGAAAATATTCTTGCCAAACACCGTACCCATAATGTGTTGATGAGAATGGCTGTTCAGCTGATGTCTACTGACAGGAAGTGAATTTAAGATATTCAATCTCCAAAATCTTGATCTTATCTTCATGATATTCTAATTTAGTTTGATACATACAGTATATCAACTAGCTCTTCTTCTTCTTCTTCTTCTTTTTTTTAAATCAAACAAGAAAAACAACATTAGATTGCCTCTGAGCATAAAACTACAGTTGGATCCTTGACCGACTTACCTTTTTCTTTGCTGCTCTCCCCCTGCTCTTGGTGAACTTGCTGTTGTTGTCCATGGAGGCTGCCCGGCGTCGCGGGGACTTGCCGCTCTTCCCGCCCTCCGGGTTCAGCATCCACCACGAGCTCTTCCCCGTCCCCTCGTTCTGGACGCGAACAAAGCGGCTGTGCAGGGACAGGTTGTGTCTGATGGAGTTCTGCAGAGGAGGCGAGAGAGAGAGACAAGCTGTGTGAGGCGACGGACAAACAGAGAGATTTGCCCTTTTCCCACAACACCTCGCTTCTGCTTTATCGCACAAGTGCAAATCCATCCGTACAGGTGGTTCTCTTTCAAAAACACGCTGGGCTTGACAGCTGACTTACGAGGAGAAAGGGGAGATTTTATGGTCACTCAACAATCTAATGCCATTTGCTATTCAAAAAGCACATATGCACAAACACGCACACAATAGATGCCAGTAAGTTTGCTCTATGAGTGATACATCCTGAACAGAGCACGGATTAAACTGCAGGCGTACTTCTCTCCAAATACGCCGTACATGTGGGCCTTCCTTCCCAAAACAGAGGGGCCTATTGTAAAACACTATTAAACCAACAGGCACATTCCACCTGACTGTGTGTCTTGTCTAAACCAGCACCAAAAATCAAAGGGAGGAAACAGACTAATCTTTCCTCCTTACAGACACATTAATGCTGTGCTCCAACGTTGCTTGGTGACGCCACCAGTGGAAAAACTAATTTTTTTGTGCAGGAAGCTAGTGAAGCGTTATAAAAACAGGGCAAACAAAAGAGCGAGAATATTGGGCAAATGTCTGCTGAGCAAACCACAGAAAGTGAGACGCCGTTTTCTCTCTCTCTCTCTCTCTCGGTAATGGGACACTCGGGTTACTCATCATTTCGGATTCCGTTTGTTTTTCGGCCCCGATTTTCAATCTCATCGGCTCAAACTGTTGTCGAAGTGACCGTTTGCCCTCCGAGAATAATTCACACTCTGGCTCTGTGTCATTTTGTGTCCAGGATTTAACATGAAGTAATGAGCCTTGTCCAGACATTACTGTGCATGCGTAAAGCTGGTTGTTTTGGAAGAAAAGGCTGGAACTCCCTGCACAAACACACACACACAGCCAGACACACACACACACACACACACACACAGAGCTTAGCGTGCATAGTGGCTAACGTCATCAAGCCTGTTCCTGCTGTGAGTCACCGCTTCACATCTGGTTCACAGTCTGCCCTCTGCTCTGCCTTCACCTCTGCTTCTCCTCATCTCTACCAACTCCTCTCAGTCTGGACTCTTAATGCCGAGGGCCCAATCTAACCTATGCCACACTTATTTTTTATGGTTGATTAATTTCCAGTCTAAGTAATAAATGACTTGTGTATTGTGCAAACATCTCATCATTATGTTTCATAGCTCGAGAAGCCTTCAATTTGTCGTCTAAAACTCACAGATATTAAATCTGCAGTGATTTACAAACAGAGAAAAGGAGCAAAAGTTTGACATTTCCCCCTCAATAATTCACTTAAAAGATTAAAGACGCACTCCAGTCATTTAGTGGTGCACTCCTCTACAGCTGGAAGACTTGCAAGAGGCATTTTTTAAAAAAATAAAAAGTAAAAATCACAGAAGGTGGCCCAGATATCTTGACAATACTAGGATGGGTCAAGCTCTTAAAACACGGCACCTTATTATTACCTATAATGCCACTCGATAGCGTCTTTTATTGGACCTCCCACCGCAGAGCTGTTAAATCCCAACACATTTCAAGCTTTATAACTCCCACACTTTCTCTTAAAAATGTTAAGTCTGCAGCTGAAGCGGAGAGAATCCTCTGTGACACTATATCGGGGCTATTTTAACTCAGACAGACAGAGTACGACTCATCACATCTACCTATATGTGTCTAATTATTTCATTTTCTCATTTCTTTTCAAGCTCTCCTGTTCTATTCCTCACTTTTCCTTTGCTCCTTTCCCTTTCCTTACCTCACGAGGGCCTGTACCAACACAAATGAATGTCATTTCCTCTGAATCAAATGACCTGACCGCCTCAGCCAATGGTCTCGGACTAGTTTGCATGGTCTGAGGTACGTGACAGCCCTTCCCTGATTAGCCTAGCAAATGCTTTTCTCCCCCCTCCTTCTCCCCCTCGTGCACATCGGTAGCTATGACAAAAGGCGAGGAGCAAAGTCTGGTCATGAGCTTCTCTTTCCCATGACTGCTCAGAGTGCTGCTGATTTCAGCTGTGCTGCAATAAGGAATGACTGCAATGTGTGCACAGACGCCGGGATGTCCTGTTACAGCCCTATATCATCCTGATGACAGGAAAGGAGAAACTCGTAGCTAAAGTCTCTACTTTGGCCACTCTGGTTTCTATTTTGGCTGATGTCATGCTAAAGCGCAAGGGTGTGATGACCGGGAACATTTAAAAAAAAAAAAAAAAAGAAGTATTGGTGCAAGAGAGAGGGAGTAACAAGTGAAGGGTCATAAAAACTGCTCTGATGGGAACTGCCAGAACTCGGCAGAACTCGGTGTGCCGTGTGGGGAGTGCGGCTCAGGGTGTCTGCTGGGGCCAATGGAAAAGCCTCGTCTCCCACTGTGTGTGTGTGAGAGAGTGCCAGCTCATGTTTTTAGTGGAATGGCAGTACGACAAACAGCAGCACAGTATGGTTTTGATTTTTGTAGCTCCCTCCTCTGCAGGCAGTGATACAGCGGTCTGCAAACACACGCTATTGGAGACGAAACGCACGCACAAGCGCACACGGCCATCCACACGTATGAATGAAAACGTCTAATAACTCAGAGACGTTGCTCAACTTTTTTTCCCTTTTTAATAAATTACATTTTCTTTACAAATTAAAACTCTGTTTCTTTTGGATCCCGAGACCGTATGTGACACTGATTTATCTCTGGCTGCAGTACACAGGAATCTAAACATTCCAGCTAATCACTGTGTGCAAAGTTCAATTGTAATCACAGCCAACTTGTTAGTATCTCTTAGGAAACAGTTAAGGCAGGATTCCCAGCCAGGCAGCCATCACAATCAACATTCCTCAGCAAGGTTACAAAACCCACAAATTCACAGAAGTGATTGCTCGGTCGCTGGAAGACGGTCCTATTGTGTGTTGGGTAAAAAAATATGATTATAACACCGTCTCATCTCAGAAGCTTTCAGAATAACACTGGAAATGTCAGCACATACTAACCAGGAATGAAAATCTTTGCACATCATAATAAATTCTACCTGTAACCTGATATTGCTGCATCACCGAAGGCTAGTTCAAGCAGCCGCCGACGATTAAAAAAAAAAACTTCTCCGTGTTGTTCCCGAGCCCGCCGTAAGGAGCACCACCTCCGTCCTCTGAGTCAACAGAACAGAGCGGCGCTGGCAAAACACAAGGAAGTGACCACATGAAAGAGGACTGTGGCAGGAAACAGAGCTGACTTCCTGTCTCACAGGAAACATGGCGGTCGGTAAGCAGAGAAAAAGGCATGGAATGCGAAGCCGCAGGGTCGTGCGCCAAGTGGACACCGCAAATTCAACCCCCCGCCTCCTCCCCGAAACTGCCAAAACAGTTTATGTTTAGCAGCTGGCATTAACGCCTGATGTCACACTATGTTCATTAAACGAAAGTGAGGTGCGACCTGTTGAATTACGTGACTGGATACGTCATGGCTCCCACACGTGGCCGTAGTATGGTCCAGCAGCAGACTGTGTTTTGAGTGTAGGCCGTTTAAGCAATAGAGAAAGAGGGGTTGTGTGTGACAGAGTGGGCTCGGATCAGCAGAGAACACACTGTGCTGATTTAAACTCCTTCTCTGGCAGCACTACTGAAAGGCCACACTGTTCGGTACATCACCCTCTTCTAGCTTTGCTCCTTCGCTTGACTTCTCATCTCCTCACCCCTTTTTAATGTCATCTCCTCTCCTATATTCCCAACTCCTTTCATCTCCTCTCTTTTTATCCTCTCCTCCTCTTTTTTTTCGGTCATCAATCCATTTTTCCTCGCCTCATTTTCTCTTTTACCTTCCCTCTCCTCCTCTCTCTGCATTTCTTCCCTACCATTCCTCCCCTCCTCACTCAACCCGTTTCCTTCCCTTTTCCTCTCTCCTGCTTTTTCATGCCGACCGTGGCTGTGCTCTTGCAGAAAACTGGAGATGGCGTGCCAGACAGATGCTGGCAAACCGACGCTCTCAAAGCTGCTCAAATGTCAACTCGTCTAATAAAAAAAAAAAAAAAAAAAGTCCCCGAAAGAGTGCAACACCACCTACACGCAGTGCTGCTTTGAATCGAGTGAAGCCACAAGTGAAACCTCAGCTGCACAGCCTACAGAGCTATACGTACAAAATGCAGAAAACTGAGTGTGAGCGTGCAGCAGGTATGATCGCACCAGGCAGCCGCTAATGCTTCACACACATTTACCAGAGATATGGAACAGATGAAAGTGAAAATGTGGTTTCCCTGCACAATTTCCACTGAACTCAATAGAGAAACGGTGCTGTCCTGAACAGGCATTTTCACCTTTTGTTGCCCAGGTTCCTGCCCAAACAGTAGGTGTGTTCTCGCACCGTAACCTGCTATTTTCTGTGTCATGTCTGCAGCAGTGATGGGGACATCCTATAGAGCCTGTGCACCACTTCTAACCGCCTAAGTACGGAGGCCTAAAGCTGCAGCTCGGTCATGTCTGGAGGTTTGTGCTGAGTCTGGCTGAGTTAGAGCGGTGTGGTTAAGACAGAAAACGTGCAAACTTGTTATTAGTCAAACACCAGCTCAGCAATGTCTGCCCACTTAACAACTGCGTGGGCCTGAGCACACAGTTCCAGGTGAGAGGGCAGGGCGGCGAGTGACCGAGAGTCACCGTGAGCTGGAAAGCCATCATAAAATAGGGATTTCTCCCGTCTGTGTCGGACAGTATTCTGTGATCCAGAGGGTGAACCAACTTCAAACTGATTTTGAATGCAGAAAAAAATGTGTCAACATCAAGTACCCAAGGCTGACATCTAATACCTGGACAGATGTCTACTCTTCATCGCTTCTTCTTTGATCATCGTGTGCTTATGTGCCTCTAGCATAGATCGTAATGTAAATTAAAATACCTCAAAGTACCATTTTGCGAAAAAACATCTCAAACATTGGCTCTAATATTAAAGAATTTCCAACAATGCAGCGGTTTTCAAACTCGAGAAGCTAAAT